CTTGAGATAGAGATGATAGCAAAGTTAAGAAAGCATTTAGCACAGCAGATTAAGACCAGGCAGGCAGAGAGGGAATGGGTGACAGTTAGGCAGTATAGAAAGACCAGGCACATAGTGCAGGAGTCCCCTGAATCTATCTCACTCATTAACTAGATTTTAATCGTGGATACTAGTGACGACAATGTTCATTACAGGAACATAGCAAGAACCAAAGTCTGGTACAAAGGTACAATTGGCTTAACTGCCAGACGATTCAGAAGGTGCTGGGGGCAGATGGAGAGACCAGGAGATTCAATAATGGTAAACTATTTGACAGTTAGATAACAGACAAGTGTTTCTGTGGTCATAGATATGACTCCAGGGTGATATGTTGCCTTCACTGTAGTCAAGCATGTCACAAAGTGGATACAGGACATTCTTTAGGGAAGGATGAAGATTTAGAGGTTGTGATCAACACCCAGCACCAAAGGCACAGATAGAAAGAAGGATACATTCCTGAAAGTAGCATTTAGGGAACTAGGCAAGAGACTGAAAAGAAAGACATCTAAGGTAGTAATCTTAGGATTGCTCCCAGTGCCACATGCTAGTGAGTATAGAGGTAGGCAAATTGAATGAATGAACATATTGGCTAGAAAAATGTTGCAGCACTGGGACTAATATTTGCTAGATCTATTCAGGACGGCTTAAACAAGCTTGTAGAGGGTTGATTACAGCAGTTGCTGAAATGACAGGTTTGCAATGCAGTGTGGTGTTAACTGTGACGGTTCAATTCCCATACTGGCGAAGGTCACAATGAAGGTCCCGCTTTCTCAGCTTCACCATTCGGCCTAAACGTGGTAATGTTCAGGTTGAACTCACCACCAGTCATCACTCTCTAATGATAGAGCAGCCTATTGTCCTATGGTGATCTTCAAACTAGCTTATCAATAGGATAGCAACTAAAGGGGAAATTCAGCTTGAACAAATACAGAAGTTATAAGTAGCAGAAAAGCTGTAAATGAAAGTGGAGAGCAATAGAGTCGAATCTTAGAATCAACTTTGGTTAAATTACAGAGTAGTTTTAAAATGGCAGAATTAAAGCACTCCATTTTAATGCACACAGCATTCGCAACAAAATAAGTGAATTGATGGTAGTAGTAGAACTAAAACGGTATGATTTAATTGGCATTTAGGAGACATAGCTGCAGGATGACCAGCACTGTGAACTGAATATTAAAGGATATTTACATTTAAGAAGTTTATGGAAAAGGAAACGGAGATAAGGTAGTGCTGATAATAAGGAATGAGATCAGCGTATTAGAGAGAGGGGATCTCTGCTCTGAGGAACATGACGTAGAAACTGTCTAAGAATGAGGAAGGGCCAGCAAATTAAGGTTTACAGGCTTCCAAACAGTTGTGGCAATGTAGGGCACAGTGTGATGAAAGGGATAAATTTGTTTGAGATGGAATTTAAAATATTGGTATATCGAATTGGTTACTGTTCTGAAAACTTTAAAAAATGAGTAGGCCAGGCAGTTCTTCCAAAATAGCGACCTAATTCAGTACGTGTCAGGCAGCAGCAATGTTAAATGTAAGACTGATTTTGTTGTGGAGGTTTGCAACAGGTGGAGTTAAAACATTAGCTTATTTTTGGTTCAAGATAATCAAGGTTTGATATTTGTTTATGAAATCCAGAGACTAGAAATTTACAGGCAGCTCAGGGGAGACCTGATAGGGGTCAGAAGAGATTACAAAGTTGGGTATTCCAAAGAGGAGAGACGGCTCAGTTCTCGTCATAAATGCACAGTCATAATTCAACTGACAGCTCTTTCATAGCGCAGAGGAAGACAAACCACACCCACTTTTCTCAGCAGCCAGCTGCTTTATTCTGAAATTTAAAGGTTCCGAAAGCCACTGTGAAATAGTTAGTGCATAAGGTAAGTGTGACGTTAGGATGCTGGAAGAATAGGGTGCCAGGCAAGCAGGGTACCCGGATTACCAGTTAAGTAGGTCATCACCTAGGGAGGGATAAGTTGATAGGGCTGGATGCTAGATGGGTGGTGTACGGGGTAAGGTAACTAAGGTGTCAGGTGGGTAGGATGTCAATTGGGAAGGGGTGCAAGGTAAGTGATGCAAAGTAAGTGATGCAGTGTTTAGGGTAGGCTGGTTTAAGAGAATGCAACTCCAGAAGGCGCATAGGTGTCTAGTGGGCGAGGGGGAATGACTGGTCCCATGGCAGTGAGGTCAAGTCAGGTCAGGTCAGGTCTGGTGGCAGGGGACTGCAGAGGGTTCAGTCAGGGTCCGGGGGATGTAAGTAATGCAGGAAAGTACTAAGAAGAATCAGTTAGGATGAAGTTAAAGATTTAGAGTCACAGAGTCATAGAGATGTACAGGCCCTTTGGTCCAACTTGTCCATGCCAACCAGATATCCTAAATAAATCTAGGCTCATTTGCCAGCATTTGGCCCAAATCCCTCTAAACTCTTCCTATTCATATACCTATCCTGATGTCTTTTAAATGTTGTAACTGTACCAGCTATCACCACTTCCTCTGGCAGCTCATTCCATTCACGCACCACCCTCTGCATGAAAAAGTTTCCCCATAGGTCCCTTTTAAATCTTTCCCCTCTCATGTTAAACCTATGTCATTGAGTTTTGGACTCCCCTACCCCGTGGAAAAGACCTTGTCTATTTATCTATCCATGGCCCTCATATTTAATAAACCTCTATAAGGTCACCCCTCAGCCTCCTCGCTCCAAAGAAAATTGCCCCAGCCTATTCAGCCTCTCCCTACAGCTCAAACTCTCCAACCCTGGCAGCAGCCTTGTAAATCTTTTCTGAACCCTTTCAAGTTTCACAACATCCTTCCTTTAGCAAGGAAACCAGAACTGCACACAGTATTCCAAAAGTGACCTAGCCAATGTCCTGTACAGCTGATGTAACGGCATAATTTCTATGGATTTGGCTCTCTGATAGTATGTCAGTAAGATGGAACCTTGTTTTGCTGCATGTTTTAAGATCTGTCAAACTGCATTCTGCATTCAGATAGGTAAATTTGTTTTTCTTCGACTTTTGTGTCATAAAGTTCCAACCTGTTGTTAAAGAATCTCTGCAGTCCCATAGGACTGACAACCATGTTATATGGTCAGAGTCATACAGCATGCAAATAGACTCTTTAGTCCAACCAGTCCATGCCGAACATAATCCCAAACTAAACTAGTCCCACCTGACTGCTCCTGGCCCACATGCCTCTAAACGTTTCCTTATCATATATCCATCCAAATGTCTTTTAAACGTTTTAATTATACCCACATCCACCACTTCTTCAGGAAGTTCATTCCACACACGAACCACCCTCTGTGTAAAATGTGCCCCCTAGTCTTGAAATTCCCCATCTTATGTTAATTATATTTTTAAAAACTGATCAATCAAGACAGATTTCATTCTGGGATCTGATATGTTCAGTAATACCATCAGCTTGACTATAACAAGTGGGGGCTCCTACTGGGACTAAATTCATATAAATTTAAGAGAGTATGTGGAGGATAACACAAGACTTTTGTGTTGAAGTTTATTACATGGTTTGAATTTTCAAGATGGCACTGAATGTTGCCAAGAGCTTTCTGAGAATAGAAGGCATAGCACAATTATTTGAAATCTTTGATTCAGGCTAAACTGAGATCTAGCAGATAAATTGAAGGTAAGAAATAAAAGCAACGTCTTGTAAGGTGGAGATGCTGAGGGTAATTGACCAATATTTAGAATTAGAGTTATACAGCAGGTTGAGAAGAGGAGGAAACCTGAAGCTGAGATGTCTCAGCTGGAATTAGACAAGAAACAGTTGAAAATAAAAAAAAATTAACTTAGAAGAACATCAATGAGAAAGGCTTGAACTGAAAGAGAAAGAGAAAAGCAAAAACAGAAGAGAATGAAAATAAAAGAGAAATGGAAAGGGAGGAAAAACAAAGGAAAAGAGAGTTGGAAATAAGCAATTTTAAAATAGAAATGGAGGAGGAAAAAGCATAGTATTGGAAATGAGATGAAATTGAAATAGTTTGAACACAAAAAAGATCAGAAAATTAGAAATCACTGCCCACTCACCATATGTAAATGAATAATTAAGGGTCAAATAAGCTTACTAATAGCTCAGGTGACCTTTATATAACTCTGCCATAATACAGTTGGCTTGGATAGGCAATTGGGAGTGGGCAGTCTTTCTTTTAATTTTCGAAACCATTGGAAGGAAATAGGGTACTACCTTCAGAAGGTGTCCTAGGCACATTAAAGTTTACAAGCCCTCCCCATCCAATGTCTACGGATTCGATGAGCTTTCAACCCTGGACTAGTGTCAGTCCCAGCAGCGCCTACTATGCTCAATGAGGAACGAAAGTCTCATTTCTCACTAATTCAGCCTGCCTGTAGTGTGGTATGGCTTTGACGGAGGTTGGATTGGAGTTTGTCAAGTGGATGCTGACTTTCCTTCTGGGTGGACAAGTCATCCAATCACTCCCTCCCCTTTAACACTATTCCTGGATCTGCAATAAGCCTTCCTGCCTCACTTCTCTCTGAAATACCATTACAGAAGGGTTCCACTAAAATTTGGAGGGGAGGATCACAGAATTCCTGGAAGCATCCCATAAATGTATGCCAACTGCAGGTAGTTTCTACTTGTTTTCTCCCTTGGGTTCAACTGGCTAACATTGGCAAGTTTCAACTCACATTAAAAGCTGGGAAAGTGGTTCAACCACAAGAAAGGAAACCAACCATGTAAATGAAGTGAGTCAGAAAATAGGAGCAGAATCATTCCTCTGTAAATGTAGGACATCTCTGGAGCACTGCACCAGTATGTTCCCCTAGGAGAACATCAGAACTCAATAATAATGATTGACTTTGTTAGAGGATAGTTCCATAAACAATATCATGGAACTGAAAATATCATTTATACAAGTATACATCAGTGATTAAAAAATACTACCCAGTAAAATAATATATGTTTCATATATAAAGGAGAGTGAAACTAACCAGTTGTATCGACTGGCTGCAAGGCAAAGCCCTCCTCTTCGTTGAGCAGCAGAGTTGCTTGGTCACATACAGTTCTATCTTCTTGAAGTAAAGTATCAGGAACATGTGACTCACCTATTGAAATAATGAAATGCAAAAATAAATCATAAGTACCTTAGCCTTCTCTTTACCTATCTTTACATGTGTCCGAGGAAGCAGAGCCACAACATACTTATTGATGATTCTAGTAGCTGCATGTTGTTCATGGGTGTTATGCTGATGTATTGTCTGAAATTCATAACATCTTTAGGTCTTCAAGAGACCAACTTTATTAAGTCAACTGATGGTGTCTTAGTGGAATATCTTACTATGTCAACTTTATAACCTTTTTGCTTCAGGTAATAGTCAAGTTCTGCAATAACCATTACCAACACTAGCATGTGGAGCAGTCAGGTTTCAACTTGTCACACAACACATATACTGCCATTGTCGTGTGACATGATAAACAAAGACAGAGGCATCCTCAGCCATTGTTGCAACAATGAAAATCCAGGGCAAAATTCCTCAAACAAATGCATGTTAATGAACATCAGTCTGGGCATTAATGACAAGTTTCACTTATTCATGTCTGCTGCTGTGCTATCAGGCAACTAACTATCCTTTGATTCTCCTCTTTCCGGGCAGATAAGATAAATACAAGAAGTCTCATAATGATAACCTCTGTGTGAATATAATTTACATGGACTGAACATGTCACTCAAACTTCAAAGAAGTATGTTGAAATAAACAGGTAATTCAAATTAATAACCATTATAAGAACATAAGCGCAGGCAATTTTCTGACAAGTTGTCCAGTCACAGCAAGGCATCACTAATGACAGGGAGGTTTTCCCTCGCTTACTCAAAAATGCAGGTTACAGGTGTGATATTTAGATAAAAAGAAGCCATAGACTCGTGACTAAAATCGCCCATTTCATGCAAGATGAAATAACAAGATTTGGGATTTGGGTGTGATATTTGAGAGCTAAGGCTATTAAAAAATATGAAAGCAAGGCAAGTAAAGGATTTGAGATACAGAAAGACTAGGAACTAAGTGATTAGTAGATAGACTCAAAAGGCAAATGGCCTCCGTTTCTACATTTCCTTCACCTTTAGATAAAATATTTTAAAACCATTATCCTATGGAAAGGTTTCACTGATGCTGCGGGAGCACTGCTTAGGTTTGTAATCTTTTCGGCCAAAGAGAAATGACGTGGAACATACAAATGCAAAACATGTATTTTCACTTTAAATGCTATAAATGCACATACCAGACTTACAAGTTGGTAGGTTTTTATTGGATAAATCGCTAGTCATGCGTCCATTAGTATCTGCAAAATCCACAAAGGCATTTTCAGCTTCGCCACTGAGAAACTCCTCTGAAAATTAAATCAAAGTTCCTTTAGCTTCAGTGGAAAGAATTATTTTTGTAAGTCATCTAAACACATACCTATTGACAGCAAATTAATTTATTTATGTAGCATGTTTTCTGAATTATTGTTTTGTAATTATACCACATCAGTTAATTAGAAAAAGCATTATGCATAAGTCACAATAACCTGTTTGATACATGGATAACCAAATGCTATTCCTGTTATAAAGTTGAGAGGTTTACGTTAGTTTATGTAGGGATGCCAACTTTTTCCACATCCAAAACAGCCAAAGAATAGGACAGCAGCAAAGGAGGGAGTGGGATCATGACTTAAATTCTCAGATTATTCCATTTACTCCATGAAAATGTATTACAGGTACTTCTATAATGTGATAGTTGCGTTCTTGCATGATCTTGCGCTGTAGAAAATCGCCACAAGAAATCGCGTTATTGGGAAATCACTTTACTTGTACAGTAGAAAGTTCGCATTATCCAAACAGCATCCACTTTTCATCAATCAGCCGATTCGAGTTAACAAAACACGCATTATAGTAGAACTACCTGTACAGACATTTTAATAACCTATTTGTTAAGTACTGATTCAGCAGTCTTTGATTTAAGACGAAAGTGTTAACACACAAATTATGTGGGAGTAGACAGCTTCATTCAGCTAGATACCTAATACTAAATAATTTTAATAATCTGCAACAGGTGAAATTACACCAGATGATTTGTTCAGTAAAAGGCCATAGATGGGACCAAGAGTACTTCAACTGCTTTAGTTTTCAGCCGAAGTAAAATTCATATAAAATAATTATAAGTGAGCACAATATTGTAAATCTATTTAGTTGTTGAATGTTTCACAAATATAGGCTGTTGACCTTATTATTCATGATGATTATGGTTTTTCACCCGACAGTGAACAATTGAAAGAACAGAAAGAAATGTGACTGATGATCAATGAGCAAACCAATGAACTACAAACAGGCAAAATGTTTTGAAACCATAAATTTACAGTACAGCTTGCAGTTCAATGCTCCTTTCACCACTATATTACATGCTCATCATACAAATGTTCACAACTCAAGTACAACTCATACAAGTGGTTTTGTGCACAAATGATTTTTCACCATCTGGCCCAGAGCTTACAACAGGTTACTCTACACCTGGATAACTCGTCACAATGCAAATAAACATGACAGATAATGCATGTATTAATGTAACATACATTTAGTCTGAAAGGCTAACTTTTCCCGTGCTACCAAATTTTGTACAGATCTGGAAAAAAAATAATCAGACGACATATAAAATGGCCTGCTGGATTCACCGTCACTTGGTTTTAGCAAGATGGTAAAAGTTAATTACTCCATTGAGACATTTACACTAAATTATTATCACGTTCCTTCAAGATTAAAACAAATTAAAAAAAGACAAGGCAGTTAAGATCAGGAGACAGTGAAGGGACCAAAACAACCTAAATTCAAAGAATTTGAAAGAAGGGTTATACTTTAAAAAATATGAAACATACCTAACATATAAGTGGCTCCTTCATCTCCAAATCCATCATTTTGAAAGTTATTTTTATCTCCGTTTAATGTAAATGTGTCTTTCACAGCACTGGAATTATTATTTTCTGGAGTTTCAGCAAGTATAGATTCACTGGTGCTCATCAGATTGTCATCCAATATGCCATTATTACTTAATGTTCCATAATCATCACCTGGCAGGAACAAAAAGTATTTATAAAATTCTGTTTTTTTCAAAGCATACAAGTAACGTGGTGGAGCGATAGACAATTCTAAGGAGAACACAAGAATTTTTTTCACTTGAGAAGTTCAAGTGAACTTACAATAGCTTGGCAGTGAAATACTCACACTTGCAGTACTGTATGCAGTTTTAGTCTCCTTAAAAAAGGAAGGACATACTTGTTCACAAGGGAGTGCAATAAAGGGATCCACTCAACCGGTTCCTAGGCTGAAGGGATTATTCTATGAACAGAGAACAAGGAGACCAGGCCAACATTCCTGGAATTTATAGGAATCAGAACTGATTTAATTAAAAGACACAGATTCACAAGAGGATTGACAGGGTATATGCTGGGAAAATGTTTCCCTTGCCTGGGGAAATTAGAACGAGGATGATGCCTCAGAATAAGGGTTAAGTCATGTCAGGCATATACACCATTTCTCCACTCGAAGGGCTATGAATCTTTGTGGAGATAGTGATGTTGTGGCAATGTCACTGAACTGGTAACCAAGAGACTCAGGCTGATGATCAGTAGGTACATGAGTTTGAATCCCATCATGGCAAATGATAAAATTAGAATTCATAGAATCCCTACAGTGTGGAAACAGGCCAATTGGCCCAGCAAGTCCACACTGCCCCTCTGAAGAGCACCCCACCCTGACCCAACCCCCTTCCCTTTCCCTGTAGCACTGCATTTCCCATGGCTAATCCACCTAACTTACATACCCCTGGATACTACGGGCAATTTAGCATGGCCAATCCACCTAACCTGCACATCTTTGGACTGTGGGAGAAAACCAGAGCAGCCGGCAAAAATCCACACAGACACGGGGAGAATGTGCAAACCCCACAAAGACTGCTGCCCGAGGGTGGAATTATACCTGGGTCCCTGGCACTGTGAGGCAGCAGTGCTGACCACCGAGCCATTGTGCTACCCTGCAAAAGCATCCTGCCCTATCGCCGTAACACATATGGGGTTTTTACCACGGCCAATCCCACCTAACCTGCACATCTTTTGATGGTGGGAGGAAACAGGAGCATCCGGAGGGACCCACACAAACACAGGGAGAACGTGCAAACTCCACACAGGCAGTCACCCAAGGCTGGAATTGAACCCAGATCCCTGGCACTGCAAAGCAGCAGTGCTAACTACTGTGCCACCGAGCAGAAAATACCTGGAATTAAAAGCTGAGATAACAAGGTGTAGAGCTGGATGAACACAGCAGGCCAAGCAGCATCAGAGGAGCAGGAAGGCTGATGTTTCGGGCCTAGACCCTTCTTCAGAAATGGGGGAGGGGAAGGGCGTTCTGAAATAAATAGGGAAAGAGGGGGAGGCAGATAGAAGATGGATAGAGGAGAAGATAGGTGGAGAGGAGACGGACAGGTCAAAGAGGCGGGGATGGAATCAGTAAAGGTGAGTGTAGGTGGGGAGGTAGGGAGGGGATAGGTCAGTCCAGGGAGGATGGACAGGTCAAGGGGGCCGGATGAGGTTAGTGGGTAGGAGATAGGGGTGGGGCTTGAGGTGGGAGGAGGGATAGGTGGGAGGAAGGACAGGTTAGGGAGGCGGGGACGAGCTGGGCTGGTTTTGGGATGCGACAGGGGGAGGGGAGATTTTGAAGCTTGTGAAGTCCACATTGATACCATTGGGCTGCAAGGTTCCCAAGCGGAATATGAGTTGCTGTTCCTGCAACCTTCGGGTAGCAACGTTGTGGCACTGCAGGAGGCCCAGGATGGACATGTCGTCTGAGGAATGGGAAGGGGAGTTGAAATGGTTCGCGACTAGGAGGTGCAGTTGTTTAGTGCGAACCGAGCGTAGGTGTTCTGCAAAGCGGTCCCCAAGCCTCTGCTTGGTTTCCCCGATGTAGAGGAGGCCACAACGGGAACAGCGGATGCAGTATACCACGTTAGCAGATGTGCAGGTGAACATCTGCTTGATGTGGAAAGTCTTCTTGGGGCCTGGGATGGGGATGAGGGGGAAGGTGTAGGGGCAGGTGTAGCACTTCCTGCGGTTGCAGGGAAAAGTGCCGGGCGTTGTGGGGCTGCAGGGGAGTGTGGAGCGGACAAGGGAGTCCCGGAGAGAGTGGTCCCTCTGGAAAACAAATAAGGGTGGGGAGGGAAAAATGTCTTTGGTGGTGGGGTTGGATTGCAGATGGTGGAAGAGTCGGAGGATGATGCGTTGGATCCAGAGGTTGGTGGGGTGGTACGTGAGGACGAGGGGGATTCTGTTTTGGTTGTTATTGTGGGGAGGGGGTGTGAGAGATGAGTTGCAGGAAATGCGGGAGACACGGTCGAGGGCGTTCTTGACCACTGAGGGGGGGAAGTTGCAGTCCTTGAAAAACAAGGACATCTGAGATGTACGGGAGTGGAATGCCTCATCCTGGGAGCAGATGCGGCGGAGGCGAAGGAATTGGGAATAGGGGATGGCATTTTTGCAGGAAGGTGGGTGGGAGGAGGTGTATTCTAGGCACGTGTGGGAGTCGGTGGGCTTGAAATGGATATCGGTTTCTAGGTGGTTGCCCGAGATGGAGACAGAGAGGTCCAGGAAGGAGAGAGAGGTATTAGAGATGGTTCAGGTGAACTTAAGGTTGGGGTGGAAGGTGTTGGTGAAGTGGATGAACTGTTCGAGCTCCTCGTGGGAGCACGAGGTGGCGCCAATACAGTCATCAATGTAACGGAGGAAGAGGTGGGGTTTAGGGCCAGCGTAGGTACGGAAGAGGGGTTGTTCTACGTAACCTACAAAGAAGCAGGTATAGCTTGGGCCAATGCGGGTACCCATGGCCACCCCCTTTGTCTGTAGGAAGTGGGAGGAATTGAAAGAGAAGTTGTTGAGGGTGAGGACGAGTTCGGCTAAGCCGATGAGGGTGTCAGTGGACGGGGACTGGTCGGGCCTGCGGGACAGGAAGAAGCGGAGGGCCTTTAGGTCATCTGCATGGGGAACGCAGGTGTATAGGGACAGGACGTCCATGGTAAAGATGAGGTGTTGGGGACCGGGGAATTAGAAGTTCTGGAGGAGGTGGAGGGCGTGGGTGGTGTCACGGACGTAGGTAGGGAGTTCCTGGACCAAGGGGGAGAAAATGGAGTCCAGATAGATGGAGATAAGTTCGGTGGGGCAGGAACAGGCGGAGACAATGGGTCGACCAGGGCAGTCAGATTTGTGGATTTTGGGAAGGAGATAGAAGCGGGCGATGCGGGGTTGGGGAACGATGAGGTTGGAGGCTGTGGGTGGGAGGTCACCTGAAGTGATGAGGGTGTGGATGGTTTGGAAGATGATGGTTTGGTGGTCAGGGTGGGGTCATGACCAAGGGGGCGGTAGGACGAGGTGTCGGAGAGTTGGCGCCTGGCCTCTGCGATGTAGAGTCAGTGCGCCATACTACAACTGCGCCTCCCTTGTCCGCGGGTTTTATGGTGTGGTTGGGATTGGAGCGGAGGGAGTGGAGGGCTGCACGTTCTGTGGGGTAGAGGCTGGAATGGGTGAGAAGGGTGGAGAGGTTGAGGTGATTGATGTCACGACGGCAGTGGAAATGAAGAGGTCAAGGGAGGGTAGGAGGCCTTGGGGTGGTGTCCAGGAGGAGGGGGTGTGTTGGAGGCGGGAGAAGGGGTTAGTAGAGGGAGGGTTAGGTTCACGGTTGAAGAAGTAAGCGCGGAGACGGAGGAAAAACTGCTCTATGTCCAAACGTGGCCGGTATTTGTTGATGTGTGGGTGGGAGGGGACAAAGGGAATTAAAAGCTGGTGACCATGTGACTGTCAATTATTGAAACCCAGCTGGTTCAATAATGTCCTTTAGGGAAGCAAATCTGCTATCCTTACCTGGTTTTGCATACATTTGACCTCAGACCCACAGCAATATGTGGTCTGAATGTTACCAGCAAATGTCAGTTTCATCAAGTTACTGGAGGGTTTCTCTCCACAAGGCCTATTGAATTTTCTCAAGCGATCATTCCAAACTTGCCTCATTAAATAGATACCTTGACCCTGTGCCACCACTCTTGTCCAAAACCAGTTTGATTCTCCCATTCACTGTAGACTGCCTATTCAGTCAGTTAGAACTCCCCACCATGTTTCTCCCACCTGTACCAACACTAACAGCTGTGCCACCCACATTTACCTCACTCAATCCTCCCTCTCATTATGTAATAAAATGACTAATAATAGGGCTGGAAGAGCCAAGTCAGATGGTAGGATGCCAGTAATGTGCCTTCTCACCCACTTAGAGGAAAGGATCTTGACGCTGCTGGGGAAGACCAAGACCCCTTATGTCAAGGTATCGAAAGTTTCATGTCGTGACAACTGAGTTAGAAGCATTTTTCATTGTTGTGCTACTCTCCCACTATCCACTGTACTATTAACATACCACAATTCTAACCCTTTGTCTCAATATTTCTCTCTTTTGTCACCTGCAGGAACCAGCAGCATGTCAACAGTGTGTATCAAGGCCCAGTGTGACATCACCCTTTTCCACTTCTGAGGAAGAGAACATGGAGACCTCAGAGGAAGCACTTCACGACTCCTCAGATACTGAAGCAGTCCATGTTCAAATGCAACAAGATCTGGACAATATCCAGGTTTGGTCTGACAAGTTGTAAGTAACATTTGCGCCACACAAATGCCAGGCTATGACCATTTCTAATAAAGACACAATCCAACCCTTGACTTCAAAGGTGTTACCATCATTGAATCCCCCACTATGAACATTGTTGGTGGGGATGGGCGTTGGTTACTATTGATCAGAAACTCAACTGCACTTGCCACATACGCACAATGGCTACAAAAGCAGGTCAGACGCTGGCAATCCTGCAACGAAAGACTCACATCCTGACTCCCAATAGCCTGTCCACCATCTACAAGGCACGAGTCAGGAGTGTGATGGAATATTTCCCACTTTTTTGGATGGGTGCAGATCCAAAAACTCTCAAGAAGCTTGACACCATTCAAGAAAAGACAACACACTTGATCGGCACCACATTCACAAGCATCCACTCCCTCCATCACTGATGCTCAATAGCAGCGGTATGCACTATCTACAGATGCAATGCAGAAATTCACCAAAGATCCTCAGACAGTACCTTACAAACCCACAAACAATTTCATCTAGAAGGTCAAGGGCAGCAGATACATGGGAACACCACCTCCCGTAAGATCCCCTCCAAGCCACTCACCATCCTGACTTGCAAATATATCTCTATTCCTTGCCTGTCACTGGGTCAAAATCCTCGAATTGCCTCTCTAAGGGCCTTGTCAGTCTACCTCCAGCACATGGACTGTAACGGTTCAAGAAGCAGCTCACCACCACCTTCCCAAGGGCAACTAAGGATAGGCAACAAATGCTGGTAAGCCAGTGATGCTCATGTCCCACAACTGAATAGAATAAAATGGTGAATCTTCATTACAAGGATACAGGGCACAGCCATTAGACACACAGCTGGAGGAGGAGCCACCAACAGGGCCCCAAGAAGGCTCCTCTCAAGACATTCCAGAGGCGGCCTGCCTTCCACTTCCAAACTGCCCTGCATCCTCAGTCCTGTGGGAATTCAAGTTGAGGAGGCTGCACCTACCTCTGGGCAGGATATAGTCTGCATGTCTGGGCTCTCTAACAAATGCACCCCATGGCAGGAGGGGAAGAAAGAAGAAAAACTTCTGAGGGTTCATAGGTGTCACATCAATGTAAGAAAATGTTCACATTTGCAGATATACGTTCATTTTTCACCATCAGCTGTGGGGGCAAGTCTCTGTCTAGCCAAAACTGCAACACTGAAGGTATAGAGCCCACTCATCCTCAGTGCTACACGATGTTTCATAATCCAAGGTGTGAAGTGAACAGCTCCATAAATCAATTACAATGCAACCATAAGACCATAATATTAAGATACAGGAACAGAAGTAGGACATTCAGACCATCAATGAATCAGTCATTGCTATTTTAAGAATCGTTCCAGGTAACTAAACAGTTCTATTGCATCACAGGCATTTGTGGGATTCATTTGTTATCTTGCATAACATGGTCAGGAGTGCTTGGGCAAAGGAGTTGGGTTGCCCGCAACAGGCCAATGCCTAAGTTCACAAAGTATTTATTATTCATTGATGTGCTTCAGCTTCAGTGTATGGGTGTTTGTATAATGGTGTTCCCCTTTGAAGACCCTCACATCACTCAAAATTGAAGCCCCTCCTCCCTCAAAAACTAAAGCACTTACCCCACACACTCCGCATATGGTCGCAATAATTGTTATTTATGTTGTCTACTTGCTATTTACATCACGATGGAAGGAAACAGTAGCCACAACTCAAATATGTCATTCTCAGCCTATTTGTGTTGGTGAACACACAAACGTAAACATTCCCTTTTCCTACTAGGTTGAACTGAAAAGTACAAAAAAAGCAAAGCAGGGATTTTGCAAGCATCCAGATAAACACAAAGTGAGTCAGTGTTAACAGAACAAGCAAGCAGCCTGGGATACAGCCTGGTCCAATCTGCGAACTAAGTGCCTCTCCCTGCACACAAAGTATCCTTGCAACAGCATTCTAATGAGAAATGATGGTGACTTCAAATGGTGCAATATTAAGCGTAGAAGCATACTGTAAGAGGATCAGAGACGTCCATGATGATGCGGTACAGCATGTACCATAATGGATGCCAATATCCATGGACAGGGCTGCTTGTGGCCGCTGCTATTGAAGTGTGCCCAGAGATTTTGGTGTCGGGTGTTCAAGATAGAGGTCTGGAGAAGCAAGTGGCAAACTGGAGTCACCAGGTCCCACTCAGACCGTTATATCTGGAATTCTTGGTGTCTAGTTTCTATTTGGCAGGTGAGAACATGGAAGCCTGCATAATAATCATGTTAGATTAGGGCATAATAAAGAGTGATAATGAATGTCAACCCTTGTTAATCGGCTTCTCACCGCTCACAAGTGAGAATCATGTCTCAAATGTTCAGGACTTAGTTGGAAAGTACAACTTTGAAGTCTTGATATAAAGAAGACCCTCACTTGGCATCTCTCCCAAATTTCTTGCCATAGTACATGTCATTCAGAGGCTTGGCCAACTCAAATGTAGTTGACTCTAAATTGCCCTCTGAAATGGCCCTAGCAAGCCATTCAGTTCAAGTGAAAATCAGGAATGGGTAACAAGTGCTGGCCCAGGCAGTGACACCCACATTCCATGAACAAATAAAGAAAAATCTTTGTAATTTTCTACCTCAGTGAACTGTAGATGTTTTGCCACTAAACACATTCAAGACAGAGGTCAGTAGATTGAGTAATAAGGGAATTAACAAATATGAGAAGATGGAGTTGAGGTGGGTATCAACAGCAAGCCTGAAGGGCCAAATAGCCTACTCTCTCTCTTACTAAAAAATACCTATTTGCTACAAGATGAATAAGCATTATTCAGCTCAATTTGCTTTTGAAGTTAACTATCAGAAATGTAATTCTCTTTCTGGTTGATTCTGAAATCTGTGGATTCAAGTCTCATTCCACAAACCTAAGCACTAGACAGTATTGAGGAAGTGCTGCACTATCAAGAGCCCCATACTCCACTAAGACATACCACTGAGGTAGTATCGTCTCCACAGTGTTCTCTCTTAACTATCATGTACAGGGAGAAACAAAATGGACATATTTACTTTAATATATGTTAATGTCAGGAGTGTATTGTCTACATGAACCACTAAAACATTAATGCATAAGTTTTCTTCTAAAGGAGAATGCAAATAGTATCACTAAGGTACTTGCAGGAAAGAGGAAGAGAAGGGTCATTGGGATGGTTCTGTAGTGTTCTGGTTCTGTTGTTTGAAACAACAACATTGGGGCAAAGGATGTTCCATAAGAAGTTGATAAATTTTTAAAAAGATTCGTATTAACTACGTTTCTTGTCACAAAGTCAAATTATGTGAACCATATTGCCAATGTCTTGTTATTACTGTATTAGAAAACTGTGCCCTAGTCTGGGCTCCATAAAATGTTTGTTCTGTTAACTTGACATGTTAAAGACATTGTAGCATTCATACAATAGTATTCACATTCATCCTTGATCTTATTAAAAACAGAATGAACAAAAAGTAATTTTGGAATGAGTTCTCAATCCAGCCACATTATCATGCCAGTCCAATCCAGTGGCTATTCTGAAGAATGGTAACACTTCTGGCTGAAACAAGTGTTATCATGGGAACAAGTTTATTTTAGGAAATTTTAACTCTGAACTGGAGGATTCACAGAAGAGCTAAATTCAATCCTGGTAGAGACACAGGTAATTTTCATCTCATTGCCTTAACAGTAAACTACTGCAGAAGAATGCCTGCAATTTACAGAACCTTCGATTGTAATTCCTCTTAATTAAATTAAAAATCAGGCATGCTTTACAACAAATGAGTGTTCTATTCTACTATGTTACTACGAGGTTATGAAGATAAAAATCTACACCACAATAAAGGGAGCTTAGTCTGATTAGGTTATTAAATCCATTTGATAAAGTGGGCTCCAAAAATTTTACTTCAGATGAATATGCTCTGAAAACCAATGGCTATGAGCTTAGATTTCACTCTGAAGTGAATGCTTGACCACTAATGCCAATCAATCCCATAAGGCAATGCTGATCACCATTTCAAGAGTTAAGTGTGTGAGCAAACAGACTTCATCCAGAGACTCCTGAAATGCAGAAGGAGGTTTTCAAAATTTCAGCATTCTAGGGCACAACTATTTAATTCTGCAAATTTCTTTGGTGGCCATTCTGTTCTATTTGAACAGCATCTCAAACAGAGTGATGTCCCTCCTACCTCAATGCAAATGTTTTCTTCAGACAAAATTACCAATGACAGAAAATCCAAAATCAGGAAAAAATACATAAAGCATCTATTCCTTGCCTCCTCTTCAAGTAAATATTTCTGCAAAGTTCCAATAATGTTGTTCTCACTTTCACCCTCAATAGCTTAAAATTTTCTTTATCTGTTTCATTCTTCCCCTCACTGTACTACCATTCTTCCTGCAACGTAGAATGCCTTGGGATGTTTTCAATCATAAAAGCACATCTAAGTGTAAGTTCTCATTGCTACAGTTGCATTATTTACAACCATTCCAGTCAAACATCTGCCTCTAATGGCTAGGAGTAGCTACTTATTCTAAGGACAGTCACATACTCACTATGTAATGTCTGGAAAAATTTCTAGCTGTAACTGTAAATCATGGGTTAGTTAGGCAGTAAGTTTAAAGAGCTATCATCTGTCCTCACCAAAGCCATTATACTGAAGAATACTGCATAGATCTTCTCTAAGGGTGATCGCCTCAGCTGTGCTCTGGTTTAATGTAAAGTGTTCTGCAACATCAATAGCACTGGAGACAGAGTCAAATGTGATTAAATGAGTATCAACAATAGTTTACATGATGTAACATAAAGAGCACATTTAATTCTTCAGCATCTTCATGTAGTTTAAATCTGCAACATAGTTATTGAATAGAAATAATCATATATCCTTAATTTATCTTATTTCATGCTCTAATAGAGGTAGTTATGCTGTTGGCGAACAAGCTAAAACTAACCTTAGTTTTATGTCCATAAATCTTTCAAATCCTTTTATATTTAGCATTAGTATATATAGCACAGTGATTAAGAAGTAAATTGTTTAATGCATAAGTAATACACAGGATAAAAATTTCAGCTTGGGGCTGAGAGTTTGTACCTATAAATCTCTGCACTTAATGAGCTCCAAATCCCAAACTTCAACTAATTGAAGCAAATCATCAACACGACAGGAGTAAACAAACATACTTCCCTTTAGCAAATTCTATTGCATAAATGTTGCAGTGTTTCACAGATAAGTGGTAAACTCTCGACCATTAATTTAATGTAGACATAGTAAAGCACATTAACTTTGCTATGGTTGGAGTCTCGTGAACGACTTGCTATTCTTTTTTCCACAGCACTACTAGAAATCAGAATGTTCTAATCAAAGCACGGAGCTAGATGAAATTCTGAGGGTGAGCTACCTGCACCCCAGAGTAAAGTCAAAGGGAAGCTGCCGATATTCAGCTCTTAAATCTGTAAATCAAGATGAATTTACTTCTCTATCTGGAAGTGGACTGAAAACTGTCTTCAAGCACAATCTCTGTGAACAATATCACTTTAATTGTCTTTGTGAATGTTACGACATTTATGTATCTATGGTGATAAAGCTGTGCACTAATCATGTTTGAACTGTTAGTAGGTCAGCAGAAAGGAACTGGAAAGCATGGGCAGAAAAGTAGGTGTCAACATGCTCATTTAGAGCCTAAGCCTGAATCAGACACAATAGTGAAATGGATGACCTCTAATTACTACAATCTCATACTTACAAGCATGATGACAATGTTAAAGAAAATGAATCATTATACTGACAAAAAAATTACTACATTTGGAAATTTTGGAACTCATGTAGAATGATAAGTGGAAAAGGGTCTGGAATTTAGCCTAAACCTAACTTCCACATACAGCAATGGGGAAAAATGGGACCGAGAGAATTGGTTTCCCAAATGTCTTACAATTTTATCTAATGGATATCTTTAAAGACATTTTCCCCTCTTGGGTTCACAGCAGCAGGCTGTCCGATTGACAGGAAACAAGGGAGGTGTATTGGAGGAGTGAGACCACAAACGGGCAGAGGTCCAATAGTGATTGGACATGAGACAGTAGGAAGAAAAGATACATTTGCAAGGAAGAGAGTTGGGGATTTGGGAAAAAAAGGGTTAAAAAAATGTTAACTCTGCTTTCTCTCCACAGATGCTGCCAGATCTGCTGAGTTCTTCCAGCAATTTCTGCTTTCATTGAGGATTTAGAAAGCCTTGTTGGCCTACAGAAATCGCTCCTGCTCTTCCTTGCCCACAAGCAGTTTTCCTGAAGCTTAGGAACTAACTGAAATCAGTTAATAAAAAAGATGTCAATACTTCCCATGAGATAATTGGTCACTATTCCCTTATTCCACCTCAGTTACAACTGAAAAGGGGTATGTTTGAGGGACCCTGGATTCCTGGTCAAGATTTATTGCATCTTAAGCTCTGAAACGGTCCCAATGCAGCCACTTTTGGAAAAAGTAATTTAAGGATTTAACTGAATTAATGGTACTGGAATATTAATACACATAGGTGCTAGACAAAAAATGTAAAACACTCAATGATAAAGTTGCACATTTTGTCACCTTAAGAACTTCATTCAACTGCAACTGAATAGTTAGTGACAGCCAGGCACACCAGGCACTGTTTTGCCAAATAATCTCAGAAGGACAATTCCAAAAACATGAATGGCTTCAACCACAAAATGGCAAAGTAAGAATGAGGAAAAAATAAAATGGTTAGGACTTATATATACATTGCAGTCAATGCACAACAGAGAAGAACAATGGATCCCTTATCCCACCATATACATTCTCACTTTCTAAAATATGGGTATTTTATAAATAATTTAAATAACAAAGGTTAAAAGGCAAATCTTAAATATATAAAATTACATAGGATATACTGCATGAAACCAAGCCATTCAGTCCAACCAGCTTATGCCAGTGTTTATATTCCACTCAAATCTCTTCCCATCATTCCTCATCTAAATCAATCATACCCTTTTAGAATCCAGTCCCGTTGGGAATTCTTGGTGCTTTTATTCTGTTTGTGGTCTTGCCTTACACTCTTCTTCACAAGGGTAAAGGAATATTCTCTGCGTATTTATTCATCAATTTTAAAGATCACTATTGGCTTTTATTTAAAACAGAAATGGAAACCACTCACTGCGTAGCAACAGCAAACTAAACACCTTTAAGAGCACAAATTTAGCTGACAGCAATAAAATTCCAGCATCTACACAAACCGCGAACTGGTACGGATTTGCCCACCAGTGTATAAAGTTCAGGGACTCACTCCACATCGGGGAGCTGATTGGAAAATTCATGGAACTCCTCTGGCAATGTTATGGCATTGTAGGTAGCTTCAAGGTTTTCTTCAGCAAGATCCACAATATCTGTAACATCAAACAATGATTCAGAGTACAGTATATGAGTTAATTTGAGTTATTTCTAGTTTGCTTTCCTAAATTTTCAAACAACAATGCTTTTCTTTTTCATTAGTTTCTGCAATTATTTGATTTCAGCCCAAAAGCAATTCCTGAATTGTTGCTAACAGTAAATTAAAATTCCACATTTGTCAATCATCCTACTGTTATCAATCGATCGTACTGGGAGTCAGGCAACTGATCATCATTCACGCATAAAACTTGGTAGAGCATTTAACCATGGGATAACAATACCTAAGCTCATGTTTGTCCTCCCTTAAGCTTTGTACACTTCGGAGATTCTAACAGAGGTAAATACTAGTGATTAGGAATAGGAACCTGGCTGATTTTCTTCCTCTCAGACAAGAAGAGTTGAAGTGAATTTTAATGCCTATGATTCTGCTTCAGATAATGTAGTTCATTCAGCACAGATCAGAGATCTAATCAAATATCTTTCTCAATTGAATGACTTGGCTAATCAGTCCCTGTTACACAAGGCAAAGAACATAAGAACATAAGAACTAGGAGCAGGAGGAGGCCGTCTGGCCCTTCGAGCCTGCTCCGCCATTCAATAAGATCATGGCTGATCCTTTCGTGGACTCAGATCCACTTACCCGTGTTCTCACCGTATCCCTTAATTCCTTTATTGTTCAAAAAAAAATCTACCCTTTTTTAAAAAACATTTACTGAAGTAGCATCAACTACTTCAATGGGCAAGGAATTCCATAGATTAACAACCTTCTGGGTGAAGAAATTCCTTCTCAGTTCAGTCCTAAAAGCTTAAAATAACATTTTTAGCAAATTATAAGTGGTACATTTCAAGGATCTGGTTTACTGTTCAAAACTATGACAATTTCCTAAAGCAGAAAAATTATAACATCTTTCTTTTAATAATGAAAAGAAGATTAGTCCCATTTTGTTATCTGCAGTATCATCATGGGGACCTTATAATCACACACAGAAATATTTAGAAAGACTTAGAAAATATTTCAATCTGTTTTGTATTCTCTTCAGTCTTAATGACATTTTCTACTTAAGTTTTTCTACCATTTTCTCATCTATTTGTTCAGTGTGGGGGTGAGCATGTTAAGAGATAACTCACTTGATACTCCATTGCCAAGAAAACCCACTATATCACCTGCCAATCAGTTCATTAAGAGTTAACTGGCAACTTTCAGTGAGTTTCTCAGCGAAATAGTGACTGAGACACTAGCATGGCAAGTCAGCAGAAGCTGCTGGCCAGTTCCATTTCGTAGCTCACATAAAGTGTTCACTGACCTACACTGGCTCCCAGTCAAGTAATACCTGGACTTTAAAATCTCATCTTTGATATCAAATCCCTCCATGACCTTGCCTCTCTCCATCTCTGTAATCTACTCCAGCCGAACAAACCTCCAAAGTGTCCATGTTCCTCTAATTCTGGCCTCTTTCAAATTCTGGCATTCCCAGTTTTATTTGACCATTGATGTCAACAGCAATAGGAAATTTCTATAAAGGACAGAAGGGTAGAACATGCAGCTAGATACAACATGGATTTAAAGAGGAGCATTTTTAGACCAATTTAATGTTTTTTAATAAACTGAAAATGTTGACGTGGAATTGTTATTTCTTTAGAATTGAGGAAAGTCATTGATGAAGAGCATGGATTTCTAAAAATCTAGTCTGCTTACTCCTGTGTTGTAAAATGGAATGCTGCCAATCCTATTACCAGGTCATCTGCATGGTCAGGCCAGACGATCCATGGAAACCCAGAATTGCTGACAAAGTACATGAATAGCAGCATGTTGCTATGACAATGCAGAAGATGCCCCTAAAGAGAAAAAATTTTCTTCAGTTTCTCTAGTGGAGAAAGGGTCATAGTGAGGGGCTGTAAGTTTGATTGAATTACAAAAGGTTGTCAAAGGATGCAAGGTTCTGAATACAATTTTTAAGGGATTTAGTGGATTTAAATGTATTGAATGGGAATTCTTGAATGAGAAATTTTTCTGTAATATAGTGAGTGTCTATAACAGTTAGAACTTTTCTTTTATTTAATCTCCACATGGCTCTTGAAACTGCCCATTGTGTTTACTTGGTGAATTGGCATTGAAAGTGGAAGAGCAAAAGGTCATGAGGGCATGGGGCACAGTAGCAAGATGGGCCTAAGAAGGTGGGTGTGGAATGGGCTGACATATATGGGCATTTGGAGTGGGCAAAGGTGAATCTAGAGGTCTTAATATTTAACAAGCAACTGCAACCAAGTCCCAGACAACAGTGATGACTTTTCAGTAAGGCTGCCTTAACATTCAGATGCTTTAGTGTGGATGATACAATACAAGGGAGAAAAGCAAGCCCCTAAAGCTCTGATGTCCCTTACATCAATACTTAACCTATTATTTATTTAATTTAATGAACATCTAAATGCAAAAATAATCTTTCACATATCAAAAACAATCCTTTATTTATCAAAATATGCTTAGAGCTCAAGTGAGTGTAAGTACCAGGACGAAAGGCTATCTTGATTTTTGTGAATGCCTCATTGCAGTCAGCTAAGAGGTACTTTGCCTTCCGATGGTAAATCCTCACTACTCCTAAAAGCAGGTGTCCTGAAGTTCTCAGCGCTATTTTAACCTAAAGAGGGCACATAAACATTACTGAATTTATTTTTCTGTACAGTAGTAAGCTAACTTATCATATGTCTAACCTTATGTTTGTACTTCATATATTTCTCTGCATATCCTTCATTAAAAATGCACAATATTCCATCTATTTTGATACCCACTGGTGTCCTCAAAGTGACAACACAACTTTTAAGTCCCTTTTGATATTTTAATTGGTTTTAGTTTATTTTAATTGGGCTGCAGCAGGTGATAAGAGAACCATTAAGAAGGAAAAACACACTTAACTTCAACCTAACCAAGTCGGTCTGCCAAAAATGCATCTATCCATGAAAGTATCACTAAGACTGACCACTGCACAGTCCTTGTGGCACCTTCGTAATGATACTGTCTTACATCAAGTTGTGTGGCACTATCACCATGTTAAATGGGACAGACTTCGAACAGATTGAGCAACTCAAGACAGGGCATCCACAAGACACTGTGGATAGGTCTGAGCTACAGGGAGAGCTGAATAGAATGGGGCTATTTTCCCTGGAGCATTGGAGGCTGGGGGGTGACTTTACAGGGGTTTATAAAATTATGAGGGGTATGGATAGGGTGAACACCGAAGGTCTTTTCCCCGGGGTGGGGAAGTCCAAAACTAGAAGGCATAAGTTTAAGGTGAGAGGGGTAAGATTTAAAAGGGACCTAAGGGGCAACTTTTTCACACAAGTGGTGTGCTTAAGGAATGAGCTGCCAGATGAAATGGAGGAGGCTGGTACAATTACAACATTTAAAAGGTATCTAGATGGGTATATGAAAAAGAAGGGTTTAGAGGGATACAGGCCAAATGCTGGCAAATGGGCCTAGATTAATTTAAAATATCTGGTTGGCATGGATGACTTGGACCGAAGGGTCTGTTTCCATAAAAACCGAAAGTACTGCAGATGCTGTAAATCAGAAACAAAAACAGAAGTTGTTGGAAAAGCTCAGCAGGTCTGATAGCATCTGTGAAGAGAAATCAGAGTTAATATTTTGGGTCAGGTGACCCTTCCTCAGAACTGTTTCCATGCTGTACAGCACTACTGTCACCCAATTTGGGTTCCGTCAGGGCTTTTCAGTTCCTAGCCTAATTACTGCATTAGTATAAACATGGACAAAAGAGCTAAATTCCAGGGTGAGGTGAGAGTGACTGCCCTTAACATCAAAGTTGCATTTGATCAAGTGTGGCATCAAGATGCCCTAGTAAAACGGGAGTCAACTGAGAATCTGTTTCCATGCTGTACAGCTCTATGACTAACAGCAGCATGAGAATCATACTCCAACACAATCTGCAACATCATGGCACGGCATATACCCCACTCTAATACTGCCATCGAGCCAGGGGATCAACTCTGGTTCAATAGAGAGTCCAGGCACACCTAAACATGAAGTGTCACCTTTGTGAAGTTACATACAGAGCTTCCTGCATGCTAAACAGCATATGCAGCAAATGATAGGCGGAGTTAAGCGATCCCGCAACAAGAGAACAGATCTAAGCTCTGCAGTCACCACATCCAGTTGTGGATCGTGGTGGACTACTAAACAACTCACTGGAGGAGGCTCCACATATATCTACATCCTTAACTAAGGAGGAGGAGAGCACATGAGAGCAAGAGATAGGACAAAAGTATTCACAACAATCTACAGCCAGAGATGCTGAGTGAATGATCCATCTTGACCTCCTTCAGATGTCCCCAGTATTACATATACCATCTTCAGCCAATTTGATTCACTCCACGCGTTAGAAACAAACAGTTGGAGGCACTGGACACTGCAAAGGCAATGGGCCCTGACAACATTCCAGCAACAGTACTGAAGAATCGTGGACCAGACTTGCTGTGCCCCTAGCCAAGCTGTTCCAATACAGCTGCAACACTGGCATCGACCCAACATGGAAAATAGCTCAGGTATGTCCTGTATACAAAAAAGCAGGACAAATCCAACCTGGCCAACTGCCACCCCATCAATCTACTCTCAATCATCTGTAAAATGATAGAAGGTGTCATCAACAGTGTTATCAAGTAGCACCTGCTCAGAAATAACCTGCTTACCGACGCCCAGTTTGGGTTTTGTCAGGGCTTCTCAGTTCCTAACCTAATTACTGCATTAGTATAAACACGGACAAAATTCCAGGGGTGAGGTGAAAGTGACTGCTTTTGGCATCAAAGTTGCATTTGACCAAGTGTGGCATCATGGAGCCCTCGCAAAACTGGAGTCAATTGGGAAAAGTGGGAAAAATTCCACTGGTTGGAATCATGGCTGGCATACAGGAAGATGATTATAGTTATTGGAGTTCAATCATCTCAGCTCCAGCACATCACTGCAGGAGTCCCTCATGGTAGTTCCTAGTTGCTTCATCAATGACATTCTCTTCAATCTTAAGGTCAAAAGGAGTCTGCTGATGACTGCACAATATTCAACAGAATTTGTGATTCCTCAGATACTGACGTAGACAATTTCCAGGCTTGGGCTGAAAAGTAGCAAGTAACATTCACACCACACAAATGCCAAGCAATCTCCATCTCCAATAAGAGAGATCACTGCCTCTTGACATTCAATGGCATTGCTATCTCTGAATCATCCACTATCAACGTCCTGGGGATTACTACAGACCAGAAATTGAATTAGACTAGTCATATAAATACAGTGACTACAAGAACAGATCAGAGGCTAGCAATACTGCAGTGAGTAACTCACCTCCTGACTCTCTTTATGGTCCAACAATTCACCCGATAAAAACAAAGTGCTGGAAAAACTCAGCCGGTCTGGCATCATCTTTAGAGGGTGGAATTTTCCAAGCCCTGAATGACGTGGTCAATAGCAGGTCAGCTTGGAAAATGTGATGAGATTAGAAAAATAATATTCTCAAAGTTGAGAACATGAGGCAAGAATCTACGGCCTGTTTGCATGCATTTATATCCACTAGAACCTAATCTCACTTATATGCACTTTTTTATTCTCCTGAAGGATGGAGAGAAACTAGGCAGCGACAATTCCCAACATGAAAATCAGAACAAGTACCTGGCAGCTCCAGTTCATCACTTGCTCCTCAGTGGCTACATGTTGGCCGGCAGTCCCCAATACCTCAGAATACGCTCCATGGGCAACAAATGGAGATCTGCATCTCCATTTCAAAGTTTGACAACAGACACATGCCAGATTCTCCATATCATCACAGCATGCCTCCAACTCACTTAAAATATAGTTATCCACTTCAATGCTACAGGCTGTAGTACATAAAATAATGCTGCCGCCAGGCTGCTTTGAGCACAGGAACAGGCACCTATTTCATGCATCAGACCAGCGTTCCGCTTGCTTTTTTTAAGCACTTACTCACATAGTGCCTACTGGGGGGCCTGATCACAGAATGCCAAGGCAGGTTATCAGGGTTCTATTTGGTGGAAGGAAGTTAGGGGAGTGAGGTGATTGAAGGCAGTATGCTGGGATGCCAGAGGGTACAATAAGTATAACAGAGGCAAGTCAACATTTAAGAGTTAGTGAGTGTGAGAGAGAGAGAGAGAAGGAGGGAGGGAGAGTGTGAATGAATGACCTAAATGACTTGGCTGAGCCTATGACTCACTTTGCGAAACATAATCTACTTTAGCGTCCATCCTCATTCAAATTATAAATGCACAATGAAAATTAAAAATAGCTGAGACCACAAGCAGAGTAGATGGACTAAGCTTATGTTTCTTTCTGAGCAATCTGGTTCGATTTGTCAGCGGTGTGAGGCAATTCAAGAGGCAAATGCATAATCAAGCACTTACATACTACATGCAACTTGCAATAGATCACACTGCTTCATCTTCTTTTCCCTTGACAAAGTCAGTGCTGCATTCTGGGCTGTAGGCTTTGCTAACATAGCTGACTTTCCCCAGGTGCAGAACACTATTGCCTATATACTCGTTGCACTAACACTACCATATCATAATGAGGTAGTCTTCCTCAATAGAACAGGGTTCCATTCCAACAGTATACAAATCCTGATGATTTACCGGCCCGGCAGGGTGGGCTTGGTGAAATGGCGTGGTGGTCTTTTGGCAGCACATGGCGGTCTTTCAGCCCAGTGTGGACTTCCAGCCTTGAGGTGATTCCAAAGCGGTCTCCCAACGTCGAGATGAGCCAGGCGCAGTCTAGAGTCGAGGCCTGGTGTGGACTGGAGGCTATGTGCCAGTGTGGACTGAGTTGGAAGGACTGTTGTTCCAAACTTTTTTAATTTCTCTATTTTCTAATTTATTGCTACAATCTGCAATTTTGGACTTATTATTTCTTTATTTTTCTAACTTTTTTCCCCTTAAGAACAGTTACTAGGTACCTTGTACCTAATCTGGCACTGTAAGTGGCGACTTGTAAACTTTTCACTGTAGTCATTTGAGTACGTGACAATAAAGCTAATTCAAATTCATCTGATGACTGGTACCACATTTCGCAAGTCTGCGCCAAGTATCCTGGAAATTGCCATAATGCCTACATCTTTGAAGTTTCTCACATTCCTGCTCCGTTTCACGGGCTGGATGCCTTTCAAGGGTGGTCCCTGGGAGCCGGGGATTGTTCCCTGCAACCATAACTGAGGTTGAGACTAAATACAGTGCAGTCCCGTTGACTTACCTGCTCCTCGGATGCTGTGTGACCTGCTGTGCTTTTCCAGCCTCACACCTATAGACTCTGGCTTTCAGCATCTGCAGTCCTTATTGTCTCCAAGCCCATTCTTCCACCTGGGCTGTACTGGAGCAGACAATAGGCTTCCTGAAGATAAGATTCTGATGTTCATATCAATATGAGGGCAGTCTTGCAATACAGTCGAGACAAAATGTACTGCATAATCATTACCTGCAGTGTCCTGTACAACTACAGCAGGCAAAGAGGGGATGTGATGGACTCTAAAGAGCTGGGAGAGCAGCAAGTCTTCCAGATTGGAAGGTGAGGTCATTGGCCAGGAGGAATACCACCTTCAGCGTGACAGAGTGGTACAGTCTCAGGCACAACAAACCAGACAAGACTTAATTGACACCCAGTTTCAAAAGATGAGAGCTAGTGAGGCAATCATTGATTTTTGTTGCTTATAAGACAAGAAACCCTGTTTGTTCCCAGAAGCAACGAGCAACATCTTTTTTGCTTCCCTTGTTGTTCAATAAAAAATTACACTTTCAACTGTTTGAAGGCTTTCCAACATGTGATGCTGTCACAGCGAACAATGCAAGATTGTATGCTATGCTGCATGTTACAGTAGCACTCCCTTAGCCAGGGCATGAAACTAAGAATGGACAGACTGTGCAACTTGATTCTTGTAGCTGCAATTTCAATGGCAGTCAAACAGGTAATGTTATAAACAGGTTACACGCTTTTGATAGTGCGATCCTATTAGATGTAGCCTACGCTACCTATGTGCACTCAGAAACTTTCCTTTATCAGTTCCCTCCTACTATGTGAACTATGAAGGGCCATTTATGGCTGGCAACAACTGACCTAATGCACAGTTGAGTTTTAAATATGGCACCAGCAGCGTGGACCTCAGAAGGTCCCAGCTATAATGAGTACTTCTACCACTGGTGAGCGCCTGACTGCACAGGTGCAGTACCTTAGAGGTGTGGTGCATACATAATGAGGTGTGTCGCAGAGAACTGAAAGAGATAACTCATTACATCATTCAGAAAGGAACCTTCTACGAAATTCTTCGTTATTGACACGTAGCCAGTGTTTGGTAAATTACAGCCTAGGATTGAGTCCAGTATGATCTTTTGGTACAAAGTAGAGTGAAACAGAGAAAATGTTTTTTAGATGCTGTGCACAAAGGCAGATCTTGGATTTTAACAAACCAATTTAGTTGTAATCTGTTACAATTCAAAAGATTCATTTCAGAACAAGCAAACACCTTTCGTTTTTACCAATGTACATTACCAGATTACCAAATATGATCACAGACTTTACTTAGTTATGACACAGACCACAAACATTCATTCAAATAAACATTCAGCAAATATGTGATGTGCATTCCATTGGATGTTTGATGATTTGTAGCGCAGCTAAATGTTAAAAAACCATCCAGCGTTCATGTGTAATTTAAACCTATATGGGCGTCAGGGAAATATGCATCATATTTAGCCATTGAGCAATATTTAATCCACACATTTGTTTTAAAAACAATTTAACTCCTTGTAATGTCTCAGGCAGGAATCCAGCTTCTCTTGTGGATCGTTGTCACCTCTGGTGGGAGAAATTACGCAGAGGTTGTCGACTACCAATGACTCTACAGCCTTGACTGACAGTGAATCCGGGATGATGAGCTGGGCCACAACACAGCAGTCAGAGATGGAAGATATTGATTATACTGAAATGTACAAGAAACAGTTTTCTCTTACCAGTGACCTGAGTCACTGCATTTTTTTTAGAATGTGACAGCAAGTTGACAAAAACATTATTAAACAGGGAAATCAACACACAAGACTGAATAATATAAATATTTGAAGTGTGAATATTTACAGATATTTATAATTGATATTACCTTTAGTAGCAGGTTAATCTGTAAACATTCTGCTTAGCTTTGAACAGAAAGTAAAACAGACTCTAATTAATAAAGAAAGCCAAAGTCAATGAGGAAGAAATATTGCCTCCAACCGCTAACTAAACAGTGCATAAACTTTCAGTAGCCATTTTGAAATGCCACAGGTTGTCAACTGAGTACTATAGATCACATGACATGAACTAATTTTTGAACCATTGATTTATAACTTATCTGAAACTAAGTTCCATGTATAAAACAATTTATACTAACAACTGTGATATATAATATTTCAGCACAAGCTCATTTAACACACATTCAATTACTTTACCTTGGGTGAAATAATGTTTTCCACAGTAGTCTCCAGGTTGCATTCAAACACATGGGCTTTTGTGAGCTTTTTGTCCCAATGGGCAGCTAGCCAAATCTTTGCCAGTGGCCCACGTTTGCTCAGAAATAAGGTAGCATAAAACATCGCTGCAGCTGCTACAACTACCTCAATTTGGAGAAAATGCTGGTGAGGGAAATAAAAACAGTGAACCTGTTGGATAATGTATTATATTAAGAACAAAACAGTTATATGTAAGAATCTTAAGTGCATGGCTACATCACTAGAATGTCCTATCTTTCTCATTTCCTGGTTATTACTGACATACACATTATAAAAGGTATTAGGGCTTGACTTTAAGCTGATCCGCAACATACTAGCCATTCTACTTAATTATTTTCAGCAATATTTGGAATTCTCTAATTGGTCATTCCACCTGAAGCTACACAACATCTTGACTTAGAATTACATTACTGGTTCTTCAATGTCACTGAACTGGAATACAGGAACTTCCTTCCTAAAGCAATGTGGGTGTGCCTGCCACACCATTCACTATCATCTTCTCAAAAGGTAATTAGGATTGGGAAATGAATGCTGAGCCTACCAGTGACACTCACATCCCATCAAAGAATCAAAAGATGATGTGGGACTTGGAATCTGATCAGTTCAGTCAGTACTGTTGTTGGTGGTTCAGTATAAATATTTACAACATATGAAATTGTTTTTATTCTGGCAGTCACAACCATCAGTGCGCATTGTTCACAAGCTACTTCTCTGTTTCATAAATATTACTACCTCAACAGTTATTTATATTTGCAACTTTAATTTGGATTGCAAACAAATGGAATGATTGCCAAAGTATAAACACTGGAGGACACAAATACAGTTTTAACAGTTTGAATATTTTGTGAATCTAAATATTATTCCTATGTGGGAGAAGAGATATAAATAACTGTTCATTTCCAACAGATTATATTCTCAAACGTCATACCACACTTTTAGAAAGCCCAAGATTTTCTCTACAATAGTAAATCATATTTTTGTCAGCGTTTTAGGAAAAGAAACTTAACCATGGCTGTGTTTTTTTTATTTTGTATCCAAAAATAATGTACAAAATGGAATTGGATAAATATTTAAATCAAAGCAACACAGTGCAGATGCTGGCAATATTAAATAAAAACAGAAAGCGCTGGAGAAGCTCAGCAGGGCTAGCAGCATTTGTGGAGAGAGGAGAAAATTAGAGTCACATCAAACTCAAAACATTGATTTTGTTTTTCTCTCTCCATAGATGCTTCCAGGCTACTGAATATCTCCAAACATTGTTTTTATTGAATAAACATTTGATTGCTTGAAAATGTGCAGGGCTCTGGGTGACAAAACACAGTATATTAATGCATTTCACTTTCAAAGAGCAAAAGAAACAATGAGGCGAATGTCATCCTATGCACTAATATTTTATTTCAAACACACAAATTTACACTTAGAATCAGGATTAGTTATAAATATTAGAAGGTTTAATGACCTAAACAATGCAACTTATGCAAGGGAATTGTAAAAGTCAGTTCCATGAGCTAAATGGTATTTATTCATTCAATATAATAAACCGAAAATATGCAAAAATTACAAAATAAAAACATGCATTTGACCAAACTATTTCATGCTGGTGCTTGTCCTTAAAATAAGTAGTAGACTGAATTCGCTGTTTTTACAATGTTTACAAATTTCTTTAGACTTCATACCTTTGACTACTGCTCTAAACTTCTCAAATGTTGCCATGTTCTCTTCTTCAATCACAGCTGGCAACCTCTATGTAAAAATGTTTCTCCAGTTCTTTGTCTTAAATTTTTCACATTCAATCTTATGACAATGCCCCTTCTTTTGAAATCCCTCAAGCACTGAAAAATTTTGTTTTTTGCACAATTCCATTGTTTTCTAATTTTAAACATTTCTATCAAATCACACCATTTACTCTATTGAGAATGAGCTTAATTTTTCAGGTCTTTCTTTATGCTTGTTTGAATTAGCCAAAATGTCATACAGATTCACAACTACATCTTAACTACTACAACTTTTGCAATAAAATTCAGAATTCCACGACATTATTGATGGTCTTTCAGATTTGTGGTGTGACATTTAATGTCTGAGGAACATAATGATATCTTCTATCATTCTACATAACCCATTTCCTTCTCTGTTATTAAAATTTCCAACTTTCCTCAAATTCAAAGAATTATTACCTTTCTAATGTAGCTAAATGTACCAAATTAAAATTACTGAAATTGCATTTCATTTGCCATTTTCCTCATTTCTGCATGTTATTGTATATCTTGCAGCTTCTTTATACCAAAGAATGATTTACTATGCCTATTTTGTTATTGCCAGCAAATGTGCGCACTACTCCTTCCAGTCCTATATCCAGAAGTTACAAAATGGGTCCTTTGAGATTGCTGCATACTTCCAAACTACACATGTACTGTGCTTAAAGCTTTGTTTCTTTCTTTCTGATCAGTTCTGAATTCAATTTCGTGACACTCCCCAATGTATGTATCCTTATTTGCTTCCAATAGTTTTGTGGTCCCTTGTTAAATGTTTTCTAAAATGTACATAATTACAGGCATGATTTATCTAAAAAAAAAACTATCAGGGCTGCATTTTACTTTGGATCAGAGATAGTAGGAACTGCAGATGCTGGAGAATCCGAGACAACAAGGTGCAGGGCTGGATGAACACAGCAGGCCAAGCAGCATCATAGGAGCAGAAAGGCTGACGTTTCGGGCCGAGACCCTTCATCAGAAAAGGGGGAGGGGAAGGGGGCTCTGAAATAAATAGGGAGAGAGTGGGAGGCGGATAGAAGAGGGATAGAGGAGAGGATAGGTGGAGAGGAAACAAACAGGTCGAAGAGGCGGGGATGG